GGCCGTGGCCTTCTCGCCGGACGGCAAGACGCTGGCGTCGGGCTCGCGCGACAGGACGGTCAAGCTGTGGGACGCGGCGTCGGGGGCGGTGCGGCAGGCTCTGGATGTCGGCAGTATCGTCAAGACTCTCTCTTTCTCCGACGACAACACTTCTCTCCGAACGAACAGGGGATCACTTCCTATTTCATTATCTCTTTCTAACGATGTACCTCTCCTCCAACCACAATGCCCACCTCTTATCTCTGTCAACGACGAATGGGTTTGTCACAATACCGAGCGTATGCTTTGGCTTCCTCCTGAATATCGATTAGCCGAAGTTGCGGTCTATGGAAGCGTTATTGCTCTCGGCTGCAGATCTGGAAGAGTTACAATTATGATATTCGCTTTCTGAACCCTTTCCTAGCCTCCTCCCCACCCACCGCCGATACAGATAGTGTCTTTATATACTGGTGGATAGCACAAGTGGCGACAGCTAATAAGTAATACTTGATTATTAATACAGATACTTTGAAATCAGATTGTGCCGCAAGGCGGTATGGAAGAATGGAATCGGAGCTATGTTTGGCGTTAGCATCAAAGGTGCCTGAGAAGCTTGGTACCTAATTACTCTGTAGTCTGTACTGTATCCAACTGAAGCCACTCGACAGCTGCAGTGGCGCCCGTGTAACGGACGTGCAATTGTGGCGGCACTTAACAATATATTACTCCTAATAATAAAATACTGCTTGAACAGGTTGATTCTACTGTGAGTCTCCGAGTCCACGTGTTGGGCTATGACCATTGACTGTGTATCCCTTGCAGATTGCAGAAGGCCGATCAGCTCATCAGCTCATTGATCCTCGTTTCAATTTTCCAACGATTCCGGAATCTTGGGAATTCACCTTTCGCTGGGGGTTGGAATTTGGATTCGAGATGTTGGTTGCTGAGCCGCTGAACCGCTGAGCCGTAAACAGCGACAACTGATTGGATGGTCCTTGGATGGTCCTATTGTGAGCAGGACCTTTCTCTTAACCACTCGAGTCTCACCTCTCACTCACCCGATACTGGCGTCACCGCGCCGCTTGACGATATTTTTGGCAAAATGAATGAGGAATCCCATGCAGCGGAAGGCGTATTAATTAAACACGGCTTTCGGGGGGCACGAAAGTCATCCAAGTCGCACCAGCGAGAGTCCTCTCACTTCCAAAATCCCTTCTTCGACCATGTCCGATATTACCCTACGCCCTCTCCGTCCTTTATGAGACGTCGGAGAGTCAACACTGGGACGCTGATCATCCGTAATAATGCAGGATTTACGGATATGTTTCCTTTATTCTAATTCCTCTCCCCTCTGAATTTCTGGCGCAAGGGATGTTCGATGGGGGCGGACATCGGGGCATGGAGATTGCAGACTCGGGACCCGAGTGGTCCGCGCATCGGGAACGACGGGACGATCACCGACCAACGACCGAGCAGCGATGAGCGACACCATGGGCGATGGGGGCGATTCCGACGGTCAGGATTCAGGAAGCATCAGTTAATTAATCCAAGTTGGGAGCTGGAGACTTGCGGGAATACTTGAGCGGTTAGAATGTTGGATGAAGTCATATTTTAATTAAAATTCCGGACTGTGTTCCCGCATCCATTCCCGTTCCTAGTCATGGTGAGGTCATTTGGCCCGAATTGTACCATGGACGATGAAGACCTCAGGGTCTCGTTCCACGATGGACATGGAGTAGAGAATCTTACTCTTTGTCGGTCGGAAATCTAGATGCCTCCGATCATACACGATCGTCTACATAGTAGGGCTAGAATAGGAGCACATGACGATGGAATGGCGGGACATATCGATGCCGGCATACCACCATCATGGCATCCTCAAGCTTAGTGTATGATGGATGTATGCAGGATGACTGGATGAGGGGCAGAATTGATACCTTCTATCAGTCAGCATTAATTAACAGCCGTCGCTCCATGCTCTCCGTCACCCGCAATTTGCAAAGAAGCTTAAGTACAGAAGACAGCATGGACGGTTCTGTAAGCAAGATGACTTGGGGAGAAAAGGACGAATTAAAGGAGGTGTGAATTGGGATGTTCAATGCCAACACCTCTGTCACTCGTAAGCCTAACCGCATTCATCGCTAGCTCGCGAGTCAGACATACGATGGCGAGTTGGGGACAGGCGAGAAACTAATCCTCGATATTTAGAATTTTCCCCATCGCAATTTCGGTAGACGGATGAGGATTTGAATTGGTCAACTGGGGGTCTTGGGTAAAAGCTAAGAATGGAAGCCAACCAGGCAGATGATGGGATGAAGGACCAAGGTCCAGGGAGCAAAGGGGCGTTGGGGCCAGCCATTGACCCATTGTAGACTGTAAAATCTGTAAACTCCGTACCATAAGGCGAGGTACGTACTACCGAAGAGGCTAACAAGCTTTGGGCGGTTGGAGTACGACAAGCGTTGAACGGCGGGTGATGGTGGAGCAGACGAACAGGGAAAAGCCTGGTATTCCGCTGTTTCCTGTGATTTCCCGCTGAACTTCGGTATGCTATTGGTGAAAAATCGAAAATGATTCCGAACAAGAGGACCCTCAAACGTCCCGATTAAGTTAACGTACAATTATGCACTGTAAACTTCGCTGCAGAGGAAAACGGCCAACGGAGATGCGAAATCTCCGTCACCATCCGCCGCTTGCCTGCAATTCTGTACGGATCGAATTACCATCGTTCTTCTTCCTCTTCACCAAACTGCGGATTATTTTCCTCTGATTATTCCTATACTCTCATCTGATTTCCCTAGAAGCCTCGTGGTCACCGCATCCTCTACCTCTCTTCGTGGTCGCCCGAACTCGCTCCAGCAACCCGACCATCGCAATCCCGCCCCCTGCTCACGGAACGCGACTTCATCACTCCGCCTCATCCTGCATCGCTGTGGCTGAGCGAGCGAGTACCACGGACGATACTCATCCTCAAGGCTCAAGGACCTGAACTGCAGATTTACCTGTAGAACGCCAGCCACCTCGACCGGACGGCTCCCATATCTATACCCCGGATATCGACCATCGGAAGTCCTCGAGTCCAATCTCAACCGCCGCCTTCCTACTTCCTAGTCATCGAACCCCCCTTCCATCCTCCAGGTCCGCTCCATGAGGTGACCACGACGACGACGGCAGTCCTTCCCTGATCGTCTCCTCCCCCTCCCCAACATCTCGGGCGCCGCTCAATCCCTCATCCCGATCCTCCCGCCGCCTCATCGTCGCCCTCACGAAACCACCTCGCCAACATGTTATCCTCCCTTCGCATCGGGCTCCCTTCCCCCCGTCTGCTCTTGCCGAACCGCATCCGCCGGCGCTGGCGGAGCGCGAAGTCTCGCATCCATTCGCGCCAGAGCCCGACCTCCGCGGCGCTGACGTCCATCGAAACTTCATACCACCCAGCGGACACCATCCGAGCGTTGCGGAAACATCGGTGGAGCAAATATGATGCACAGTACCTGCTGTTGGCGTTCATCGGCATTTTCGCCTTGTCTGCGGTCCAAGAACCAGGTCCGCTGATCAAGCTAGCCATCGCGACGGTGCTGTTGGGATCGTTAGTGTTGCCGGTGACGAGGCAGTTTTTCCTACCTTTCTTGCCCATAATAGGGTGGTTGGTGTTGTTTTACGCATGCAAGTACGTACCCTGGAGCGGGTTCTCTGGAGTCTACACCGTGTCCCGTGAAATCGTGCTAATCAAGCGGCCAACAGATACATACCCGCCGAATACCGGCCCCCGATATGGGTTCGCGTTCTTCCCTCCCTTGAGACTATCTTCTACGGCGCCAACCTCTCCAACATCCTCTCCGCGCAGAAACATGTGGTCCTGGACCTCTTAGGGTGGTTTCCGTACGGCATCCTCCATTACGGCGGCCCTGCCATCTTCTCCATCATCATGTTCATCTTCGGTCCGCCGGGGTTTATCAACCTCTTCGCCATCACCTTCGGATACATGAACATCGTCGGAGTGGTCATCCAGATCCTGTTCCCATGCTCTGCACCGTGGTATGAGAACTTGTACGGCCTCGCTCCGGCGAATTACAGCATCCATGGGAGCCCCGCCGGGTTGGCGGCCATCGATAAGCTCTTCCATATCGATTTATACACCAGTGGGTTCACGGCTAGTCCGCTAGTTTTCGGCGCCTTTCCGAGTTTGCACGCGGGAAATTCGGTGTTGGAGGCACTCTTCATGAGCCAGCTTTTCCCCAAACTACGGCCACTCATCGTGTGCTATCCTCTCTGGATGTGCTGGGCGACGATGTATCTAAGCCATCATTATGCTGTGGATCTAGTCGCAGGAGGTTTACGTATGTTTCTTTCCCCCTTGCTGCGATCCAAGGACACGAGTACTAATTCCGTATCCAACAGTTGCTGGGATCGCCTTCTTCATCACCTACACTTACTTCCTCCCGCGAGTTCAACTGGACAAGTCGCTCCGATGGGACTACGACTACGTCGAGTTCGGCCAGCCGTCGGCCTCCAATCTCTTTAATACCTCGGATTACTCCGCCCTGCTCTCCGATCGCATACACTCGGCCGACTCCGACGAGTGGACGCTCGGCTCCTCCTCGTCCATCGCGGGCAGCTCCCGCGCACGGTCACCGAGCAGTCCGAAAGGAAGCCTATCCCGAAGTTCGTCAGACGGTCATGGCGTGTGGGATGGTGATACATTGGGGAGTGGGAGCGATGGAGAGGTGGTGAGGTAGAATTACCTGCACTTCCTCCCGACTGCAACACCCATTGCACCATTTATATCCATCGCCATGTCTATGACAACTCGCTGAAATCTCTCTAGCAAAGGACTCCGGCTGCAACCCGGCAGACGGATCATGTCCGAACCGCTGTTTTCTCCCTCTTTTCCGCGGTGGTAATAGAGCATATTCGGATCCGATGGATCCGGTTCGGAAGCCTGGTGTTTCGTCAGGCGTGTTTCATTTCTTGTTGATCCACAACGAATTTCTCCAGCTAACGGACACGAACGATTCAAGCGCGATCTGCATCGGTTGGCGTCGATTTTTCCATTAATACTTTATTCCCCCACCGTATTCTTCCCTCTCAGATCCATTCCACTCAACCTTTCCGACCATTCCTCCCCATTCTCCCGAATCCTCCTACTGGAGTCGATACATTATCATTCGCTTCTCCACGGCTACATTGCCATATTTCAGCGCAACACCAGTGGCGGGGTTCTCTGCGTTGCGCGGGTTTTCCATTCGCTGATACCCCGGTTTTCACAATTCTCATTGCATTCGCTCCATGAACCATCGTTCATCACTTCTTGGCATGATGAGACGGCATAGACGGGCGGATCGGTCCGGAACATAGGAAGTTGTGGTCACATTCGCTAGACCTGGCGGTCACATCGATGGAGTTCTGGTTACCATTGGAGGGAAGGTTTCGGTCTGACGCTCGGAGCGCGGCCACGGTTGGACTTAGGAGATGGTGTCTGCGGATGGATCACCATCTGAGGTTGGGACGAGTGGGAGTGGTGTCTTAATGGAGGTACAATAGTAATGAAGCTGTTCAACATCATGGTTCGATTCTCTAGGCTTTGCTTTGCTTGTAGATCGATTGTTCGACGCTTCAAGGCGTAATATCAGACGGAACGCCCTGGTAGCCGGGGCTCCGAGTGTTACCGCCATCCAAGAGGATGCTGTAGTGAATTTAAACGCCATTCCTCCCTACTTTCGTCTTGTCCAACGCCAGCATGTTTAATGCCCCCTCCAACGTCTGCTGGTCCTCTGTCACCAACGCTCCCAAATCCACCACCGATCCTCTCCCCCCCACCAGATTCCCCTCAAACCTTCGCAACCCCACCCCCGCCTCCCGCAACACCCGCTCCGACTCCCGATCCACACTATACGCCCGATCGAACACCACCTCCTCAATGCCCCCCACCTGCGCAATCTTCACACAGCACGTCAAGCACGGACACGTATCGCAATACAACGTCGCCCCCTCCCCGCCCCCCCCCCTTCCAATCCGCTCCCGCCCCGCCTCCAGCAGCGCGTTCTCCTCCGCATGCAAACACAAGCACGAATCCAGCCCCGTCCCCGCCGTCGCCCCGCCGTTGCACCGCCCGCAGCCCCCCTCGTTGCAGTTCCGCAACCCGCGTGGCGTGCCGTTGTACCCCGTGCTGATGATGCGGCGGGTGTGCGAGGAGACGAGGACGCAGCCGACGCGGCGCTTCATGCAGTTGCTGCGGGAGGCGGCGAGGGAGGCGAGGGTCATGAAGTAGGCGTCCCAGGGGGGGCGGATGCGGGAGGGGGAGGGGAGGGGCGGGG